CGGGCACGTTGTATGTAATTCCAGTGCTAAATGGAGCCATCATTCTCATCGAAAGGCGTTTCGGGGACTTTGTGGGCACTGCCCAATTTTACATGCCATAGGTGGAGCTCTATTTGAGGATAACAGAAGGATTCCCGAAGAAAGACAGACCCTTCACCGCAGCTCTCTTATCGCAGCCGTGCATGCCATGCTGCCTGACCTCTCTCATCTCATCCCACACTCCCCCCGCGCACTCTTCACTTCGGCAACCAAGACTTTCTGTCGAAGCCCCCAGGCAACTTTTCATGCGTTGGGGGGGGGGATCACTCAGTTTCCTCTGCTGGCTCCCCCCACCACTGATTTTGAACTCCCTTCCCCAGCCATCTGTGCTGTTAACTGCCTGCCACTATTCATTCCCAGACTCGAGACGTTTATTTTACGTTTATTTTGTTGATCCGCCTCTGATGGTCTGCCTCTCTCTATAAAATAAACAGGACAATTGTTTCTCAACAGCGTTTTGAGATGCGGTTGGATTTGGATGTTGTATTAATCCATGACCTCCAAGAACCTGCATCAGATGTAAGAAAATGTGAACCTGTCCCTGTATCCATTCAGCAATGTTTCTCAAATTGCAGCTCTCCACCCCCTAATCCCACTGTAATACGTATGTTGAACTTATTTCGAACCGTACGTAGCCAACCTCGCTAATTGGAGGTGCCGGGGAAGGACAACAACACTAAACACAGAACGCAGTTGTAAAGAAATGAGTTTTCAATCTTGACTTTAAAGTGCATTGCTCCAGTGGCATCTGAGAGCGCGCGATGCAGTGACCATCTTTGTTCCATGGGGAGCCAAAAGCCGTTGCGAGAATGACCAGAGTTCGCGTGATGGTTTATGTCCAGCCTGTCTACCTAATGGCTAGTGTTACCAATCATTCTTAAATTGGAACGTGTACACTTGCATTCATGTATTGATGGATAAAGTTGCAGAGCAGTATCGTGGGAGAGGCACCGGGGCTGACATTGTGAGAAACGGCGCTAACACATTCCTGCGGAGGGCGCTGGTAGGAACGTTGGGTTGCTCGGTCAATGGCCAGGGTCAACAGCGGCGTGGTGTATTCCGCAAATATGCCCGACTGTGAGGGCGGGCACAAGCCGTCGTGAGTAGGTTATGAGTTGTATCAGGGCACCACGGGGTGACCAGCCCCTCCCACCCAGCCCCACCCCTCCCACCCCCTCCCCTCCCCGCCCAGCCCCTCCCTCCCCACCCAGCCCCTCCCTGCACGACGAACGGACACAATAATCCCCTGCGGGCTGGTGGAACCAGTGGGTTCCTACCAGTATTAAAGAAGCACTGACGACTGATTATCACAATGTGCTAATGTTATGCTCACTGCATGTTAAATGGCCACTTAGCATAGATTGCAAAGAATGCAATTCGTGCGTAATTAAGGCTAGGGTTTGACACATCCCTAACATTACCATATTACAATAGTACTATATATGTCTAATTACAAAACCAGTGTGCGCATTTGGTTGACGTGTACATTTTTGTAACCTTTGCTGAACCTTACAAACTGTGTTTCTAGGTTTACCTGTGATGATTTTTCAACGTGCTGTTTGCAGAATATTTATTAAATTTGATAATGACTATGTGCACCTTGCAAATTGTGCATGTTTCTAGATCAAGTTAAAGTGTCTCCCTTCTCAAACACGTGAGACAGACCTGACTTACTGGTAAAAACTCTACATTCATAAAATATTGTGTGCCTCTCGTAAATAGTTATTTCCTATGTACATCTTATTGGGCACAGGTCATGCTGTATGCACACACAAAATAATTATATTTTAAAAAAATGTGTACCCTACTCATGTGCATGATTAAATATGTCCTTTGCATTCAAATAGATGCTGGGATTGGTTAGATGTGAAGATGGATAACTGCACATGTTTTGCTCCATCCGATTCCAGACAGCTATAATCATAAAGCTGCTGTGAAATGAACGAATACATCACCAAACATGGATAACAGTCGGCTTTAATTGCCCACTGCATCAATTAAAGGACAACAACTGTCTTTTGTAAAATGAGAAGTTGCTCAACTTTTACAAACACAATCGAGTACGGTCATTGAATAAGTTGATTTATTTATATTCTACTTCGTGATGGAAATTCAGTGAGAGTTTTGTTTAATATGCGTTAAAGAAACGTCGAAGAGCCTTTTTCACCACGTAAAAATAAAATTAGAGTACATTTATGGCCCAACAGTCTATGGACCTTCTCGTCCAGTTGACACATTCTATCAGCATTTGTGTAAAGCAAAGTGAACCCTCGACTTATTTGAATTCCTGACGTGCATCATCAACAAAGGCGGCTTCCTGGATTTAAATCGCAATGTTAGTCTTGGAGCACTAAAAACAGATGTCAAGTTATTAATGTAAAGCCATCTCCTCCATGTGCAGTTGTTGTGCGCTGTCTCGTAGTTGTTTTTACACTTCACCTTACACAGACGTTTTCCTGATTGTCATGTTTTATCAGAGGTAAGCGTCATAGATACGCATCGAATACCGCCATCGAATGCAGCAGGTGGTCTCGCTGTGCGCCTCAAAGAAGCTTTCCCATCTTCTTGGTTCTTTCGGTAAAGTCACGTAGAAGGGAAGTAATAAAATAATAAAAATAAAACATAATAAAAATAATTCTCACGACGTTTCGGCCATAACACAAGCAGCCGTCCTCAGGTGAAGACCAGGTCTGTCGAGGCGACAGCGTCTGAAGCTTTCCCAGTTAAATGCACCCAGTTGTTTTGCCTCGTGAAAATACTTATCTACTTTTGCACGAAGGTAAGTACAGTTTTTCAACCCACGAAAGTAAATAGTTCAACTCAGTTGAGCCGGTTTGGCTGAATTGTTCAAACAAAATTTGGCCAAACTATTCGTCAAAATGTCGTAAAAATATAAACTTTGGTCCAAATACGGTGCGTTACACAAAGATCTTGTAACAACACGCATGTAGGCTAGTCCCTTTAAGGTGATACCTCCAAATTGACGGTATAAAGAAACGTGCATGGACAAAGACAAAGATCCCCCCTATAGCCTGAACAGACTGTGGGAGCAAGTGCTTTAAAGGCACATAAGAGGGTGGGTGGCCAACACCACGCCCGACCACCTTTGTCTCACCGCACCAAGTACTAATCTAAAGCTGTGAGTGGGAATCGAACTCGGGTCGACAAGTTTGTTGGCCAGCACGCTAACCACTGCGCCACCGCTCCTCACACGCACAAACGCATATGCAAGCGGATGTACACATTACGATTGTGTTCACACCCATGCACACACACACATACACTAATAAAGCTGGTACATAGATTAACGTGATTAAAACATATACCAAACTTGCTCTAAATGTATATAGATCTGGAAATTGGTATTGGAAATCTGTGGAGTAATTTTTGTTTAGATTGTTTTCGAGGTTTTGTCGTTTTCATGCAACCATGTGAAGTGTTCTCAGAAGGAGAGACGAACAGACAATATATTCTGGACATATAAATGCAATAAAAAGCCTATTAAACCGACAGCCCAGATTTAATCTATAATGCAGCGCAGTACATTAACAGCAAATATAATCAGAACTCCATTCTGTCTCCACATTTAAAATACAAATGTTTGCAGACATCGGCATCACAGTATTGGTCTTCAAGACAATTATTATTATCAAGCGGCATTTGTCAAAGCATTAAAACTCTGGACCGGTTTCATCCTTATGGGTCTCATCGGGCGGTTGTTGAACAAAGGTTTAAAAAAAAGCATTTGAGCCTAATGCACAAAACCAAATGCCGTAGAATTTACCAGATTGTTTTATTACACGCTTTTATTTAACTCACTCTGTCTGTTGTTGTTGTCGTCGTTGTTGTATCCTCAAATCTTGTAACTCAATTTTAACCCACTTCCCAATGTGGTATCGACTGCAAACTTGGTATACTAATGTCATACTGATGACAATACTATATTCTATCATAAAAAATAAAACATAAATATTTTAAAACAATCTTTTGTATATGTTATGTTTCGGCTTGGCTCTAATTGTCCACGGTCAACTCACGTTGGCTGTAATTGCCCACGGCCCCTGCAATATTTTGCTGTCTTTTCTTGGATTTTCTGTTTGCACTTAGTCACATATTCACTTTAAGATGTTTTTTTGTTCATGTTTTTGTTTTTTGTTTGTTGCGGTTGCACCCGATTCAAAAGCCGAATGGCTCACAGGGCTATACCTAATAAATTTACTTGAACTTGAACGTTGTGGCAAGCTTCGGAGCCACTTACTGGAGTCGTGGAGTTTTTCCATTACTAGCACGGTACATTCCATAAAAGCGTCTTTTAAAAAAAATTGTTTAAAAATTTCACTTATGTTGTGTGTGTCTGTGTTGGGCGACGAGACTCCAACAGTACCAACAAGCAAGACGGACGATGTGTTGTTCCCCGGGCCTGCAGGGGGCGCCGTGACGCCGTCTCTGCCGTCTCCCTGTCACTCTTCCCGGCAGGGAGCGAGGGGGCCGGGCAGGGGCTGGGGGGCTGGGGGGGGCTGGGGGTGTCTGGGGGGGCTGGGGTGGGGGCTGGGGTGGGCTGGAGGGGGCTGGAGGGGGCTGGAGGGGCTGGGGGGGTGAGGGCTGGGGGGGGCTGGGGGGGCTGGGGTGGGCTGGGGAGGGCTGGGGAGGGCTGGGGGTGGGCTGGGGGGGGGGCTGGGGGGGCTGGGGGTGGGCTGGGGTGGGCTGGGGAGGGCTGGGGGGGGCTGGGGGTGGGCTGGGGGGGGGGCTGGGGTTGCTGGGGGTGGGGGCTGAGGGGGGCTGAGGAGCTGGGGGGGGGGCTTGGGGAGGCTGAGGGGGGCTGGGGTGGGGGCTGGGGGTGGGGGCTGGGGGGGGTTGGGGTGGGGGCTAGGGGGGGGGCTGGAGGGGGCAGGGGGGGGCTGGGGGGGCGGGGGCAGGGGGGGGGCTGGGGGGGCGGGGGCTGGGCCCGGCCGAGGGTTCCTCCGCTCGGTCTAGACGGGGGTAGATCACGGGTCGGGGCTGTGCGGAGGTAGAAACAGCAGCGGCGGCGGCGGCGGCGGCGGTAGCTGCGGCATCGTCATCATCATCATCAACAGCAGCAGCAGCAGGAGGAGGAGACGAACAAGAAGAAGAAGGAGGAGGAGGAAGAGGAGCAGCGGAGAGACTCCAGGACTGGACACGCCGAAGCACCGCTCGGCGGTGCCGCTGCACGGCAGGGAGGTGAGCCCCTCCGCGTTCCGCTCGTCGCGGGGACCACGACAGCCGCGACGGTCAATGAATGTTTGAGTTAATTGCGACTTGCTCGGCACCCCTCCTCATCTTCCACGGCCTTTGGGATGGCGAGGGTAGACGTCGCGCGCCTCAAAGCCCCATGTCCACTCTTCCCACTAGGCCCGATCTCTCGAGCGAAGCCTCGGTCTGGCCTAGACGCTTGGCCGAGATGGGGAAGCCTCTCGCCGGCCGAGCACCCTTGCCCCCCCCCTCCCACCTCTGTGTCTGTTCACTCTACGCGCTCACTCATTGCTCGGTGATTGATTAAAACGGAACAGCGGGAGCGTATTTTTGTATAAACGTATTCAGGTTGTGCGTCACAAGCTGTCCAAGGCGTCGTTCACGTTAAAGGAGGAGTTTTAAAGTTGCTTGTCAGACTCGCCGCTCGAGGGCTGCAGTGATTCCCATGCATTGGCGCATTGAAACGTGTAAATATTTACAGGGTAGACATCGGTAAAGTGCTGTGCCGACATTTGAATGCAAATGCATAGCAAATTGTTTTTTTAAATATAATTAACGAAGCTGCAAACGCGTGTTGGACAGCTAGACGTGTTATTTCCCATCGTTATGTTGCATTGCCAAACTATACTAAAATAAATATACTCATGTTCAAGATAGACGCTTGGTCACTGCAACTGCCCTTAAATTGGAGCCATTCTCGGAATATAAACAGCACTGATGGGCGGGGGGAGTGTGATCGCTGGGAGAGAGAGATGCCTTTGGTGCCTTGCCCTGTTTGTGTAGTACTTTGTGCAATTTAATTATCATACGGTTCTGCGTATTTCCATTCGGAGTTCCTTTCCCAGCAGGGATTCATTCCACTCGAACGGAGCCCTTCCCTACGTCTTGGCTGTAATATTTTGTCCACGTTGACAGGCAACGTTGTCACTGCCCTTGCAGCAGTCCATCAAAAAGAAAACACCTTTCTCAAAATCCCGCTTCCAATGAGTGGATTTTCTTTGAAAGGGACTGTGCGAAAGGCATCGTGTGTTGCTGCTATTATATTACGACTGCGTCATTATTATTTCGCTGGAAAACATTAAGTTCTGTCTTACGTAAAGGTGTATTGGTTCACGTAAAATGCTCTCTTTGGTTGTCATAGGAATTACTGCGTTAATAAGAATTTCTGTGAAATTCTATTTAAACGTATACCCAGCAATATTTCATCAAGTTATACGTTTTAAGGGATTGAGTCCTATTCTAAAAGTGTTTTATGTCTGCCAGTGGGAAATGTTTGCATCTGCCTTGGTATACTGTACTTTGTTTTCTAGTGAATGTCTGGTTAACACGTGCAATAATAAATCATGCCAGTAAGCAATAACAGTGACTTAGCGTGTGTCAGAGATTCCACCTCTGCCCAGATTTCTTTGCCTGTTTTATTAGTATAAGGGAGTATTGGTTGCCACACATTTGTAGCGAGCACCAAACAAGTCATTGCTCATTGCTGCCAACCTCTGAACATAAGCGAATCATTGTTTCTTGGAAAATCCCACTTACAAAATTGTTAACTTGGCACTCAAACATTTACATTTTGCAATCTACATCTGTACAAGTGGCTCAATTCTCTGGTTACTTTGTGACCATTAACCTTTTGCATAATGTAATGTTGTCAATTCTGCAAAATTGAGAGTTTTTTTTTGTAAAATCAGCATTTAAACTACCGTTCATCTCAGTTTTTTTTTATTATAGTGATGTCTGCATCTTTTTACTCGCAAAATGTGAATTATGAAGCTGCATTATTGAACTATTTGAATAAAAAATGATGACGTGATACTTATAAAAAATACTTTGCACCCAACTGCTGCAGTTGGTTTGGTCACGTGCTCATCCTTGCAGACCCAAGCTGATCTTGAGCCATTCCCACCGCGCCTCATTTGCAAAAAACATTTCATTGTGATAGGAGCTCGTAATGAAGGATCGACTATAGATAGCACTTATTTCTGGTGAGCAGAATGTGCACGGACCATACCGACTTTGCCAGCAAATTTTAGAACGACTCGTGTGATAGTACAATCGTCCCTTTTATTCTTTAACCAGTATAAATGAAATTGCTTATAGTAACACAATAAAGTTACTTCAATTGATGATTTAAATAAATGTAAGTATAAGAGATTCAATGTGTAGTAATGTCATAGGGCTTTTTAAGACCGTTCATGAAGACATTGATTATTCTTAAGTCGGTATTGGATGATTAGGCAGCAGTTTAACGATTGGATAGTGCACACATTGCAGCCTTTCATTGGAGCAGCGACCACATTTTCCATTAAACTTTGCTTTCATTTGCAATTTTGTTCTTCCGAAGTTCCTAGAATATGGACTCTCATTTGTACTTCCAGCAGGTGTCATTTCCACACCTATTATTTTCTCAGCATGTATATAATGTGTCAAAAACTTCAGAAATAAGTGTAACTTGAAAGCCCCTTTTACACATTTTTACTTGTATCAAAAACATGCTTGTTCCATATTCACAACATCTTAATTGGCTTGCATTGTGCAGAACATATTGTTTTTTTATAACTTCCCTCATTGTATCTCTCATTGAAGATAGTTTGCTCTGTTGGCACGGAGTGTCTCGTGTATAGACAGCCTTTGCACATTAACTTGCTTTCTTTTAAACCGACTGGTACAAATGTTGTGATGTTAAGAGCCATGGACACAAAAAGTATATTGTTACAGCTTGTCTGCTTTTTTGGCAAAACATGCGATCAGTATTTCAATATCATTGCCCTATTTTAAAAAAAGTGCTTACTATGCATTTTAGGTTATTTTTTTAAAATGCAGTTGCCATCTGAACAGAGTGACACGTGTTTTAGACTGCCTGCATCACTGCACCAAGACCTGCTTGGATCATATGGTTGGGTTTCAAAGGCAAATTAAAGGGACAATTGAAGGCTCATACCAGAAGCATGCTGTCATGTCCTTACCACAGGCGTATTGTGTCTGAACGAGCACCACAGTGATTTTTTTTCCACCACCCCCCCAGTGTATTACTTTAAGGGATTTGGTCATCATAATTTCACAACTCTTACAGTGCTTATTAAACCCAGCAGGAGGTTTGTAGAATTGGATAAAAAAAATTGTAAATGTTTTTCACTCTTAGATAAAAAAAAATTATCCTTATTTATGCACATGCATAGTTCTGTTAATGACTTCTGAATTAAAGTGTTAACCTCATTTGATTTGTAATTATAGTGTGAGTCCTTTATCCATATACCTATGTTCTTCATATTATCCACATCTCCGATTTAAGTTTTATAAAATCCTATGAGTTGTTTTTATCTAGTTAGCTTTTGCACAGATGAGGAATTAACAAATACATTTTATTCAAACTCTTCCTTGGATAAAAGTCAATGGGAAGTGGTCACTTGCATATACGACTTTCTTCCTGTGATGTGAGCTTTCGCACTGAATGAGAATAGTCAATCGGAACTAGTTTAAAATTCATCCTATTTAGCTGTGTTTAGCTGCACTTTACTCCTCAGATATGGAGAAAAATGCATTGGGGGAAAAAAACTGATAATAGGATCGGCCCTTAACACCCACTACATCAAATCAGATAAAAAAAAATTGTCACTGTAGTGGTAGAAGCAACCTAACCGTTAAAAAAGTTGATATTTAATAGTTCACTTATTGATTGTAATGTGATATACTTAACCAAATCCGATTTGATAATTGCATAAATGTCATTGATAATAAATGTCTAGCAGTGTGATCGAGTAAATTGCAGTGCATGCAGGTTTCCTGTCCCGCAGATTATTTGTAGCCTACCATGTGCCATATGGTCTGCATTTTATGCCACAGTAGGGAATGTATGTCTGAAAATCATGTTAGGCGATGCCCTACTTTGCAAAGCACTACTAGCAGCTGTGTTGTGCGCATGGTTAGCCTTTACTTGCACTCTATTAATTTAAAATGGTCAGAAACACAAAAGGTTTAGGTCATTATTAAATTAAATTATAGTTTTATGAAACACGTAAATCTGATTAAATGCTTTCTCTGCGGTATGGAGTGGTCTTTTTCTAAACGTACAAATGGCATGTTTATAATGTTTGTTAATTGTGGCTTTTACTAGATGTGCTGAAGCTGCCTCTAAATAATGTTGTTTTTATCGTGTGCAGGAATACCAACCATGCTTATGAACCAACGATTATAAAACATGCTTTGTATTTTAATTTCAATTGAACATTACCCAATAAACGGAGCACAATTGCTATCTAATGGTGAAATTCGAAAGAGTGATTTCCGGGTACTCATGTGAAATTCTGTGTAAGGCTTGGCACACTAAACACAAAGTAGTGCTGGTGAGAGACCTCTTTACTCTTCATAGTTAAGCGAGCAGAGGGCTTTCCATAGTCTCATGCGCTGGCAATTACTCGTGATGTATTACCGATGTTTAAAATTTCATTATCATGCCGCCTTAAGTGCTGCATTTTCCAAATGGTGTCAATGACCATACTGCGACCAACATAGGTTGTACATTATTACCGTGTTGTGATTGCATTGGCCAGGCACAGTTTTTTTTGTAAACTTACCATTGCTTGGTTATTAATTATTAGGCTTCTTAATTCACACGCAATACGGCGATTGTGGAAAGGGAACACCGTTTGGATGTACAAATGCAAACCGTGGTCATTTTTTAAATGCAAACTCACTCAGCTCCTAGTACTAAGTTATGGATGTTACTATATAGAATACAGATGTTTCTTGACGTAATTACAATGGGAATTAAGCCAAGGGGGATGAAGTAGTGGAGTGTTTTCTATTAAATGGCTGCTCCCTCTCAAAAATGTACAATTATTGCCAGTTTTTTATTGCTCACATTTGTTGCGTTGTAAAACGACATTTTATTGGCTGTTGCATCTTCTATATTTCCCTTCATGTAGAAACGCAAATGATGTACACCGTGATGTGGTCTTTAAATAGGTATTTACATCAGTTCCCCACCGATG